GTACTTTTGCTTCATTAATAATCAAAGGATGTGATATGGGAAAAGGCCTTACCTTCCTTGAAATTGGCATCTGCCCTATGACCCAAGAGTACTAGTGGCGATGCTGCCGAGTATTTAATGTGTTGAGCTCACATGCTGCATTGTCACGATTCGACTCCCGCTGGGAGTGTTGATTAATTGGAAGACACCTGAAAGAAGGGCCTCATACGGTGAAAATACAGGACTTTATCAGTAAGTGGCGTCTGTTAGAAGAAACCAGTACAACTTTGGGGGCCTGACAGTCCGGGAACTAGGAAGGCAGATAGGCACAACCGCTACAGAAATTCGACATTATGGCCAAAATGAAAAAGAAATACGCTTGACCAGGAATAGGCGTCCATAGTTTGCTCAGGTAACACAGGTTTAATCAGAGACGGTCCGTGAAGGCAATGCCTAATATCCGCAAGCATGGGATTCAGAGCCTAGGCGCTCTGCTTGATGAGACAGCAGTGCACGCTCTTCTAAGGAGTTGAGAAATACCACCCGGAGTAAAACTCACACCTAGACTGGAACAAAGTGAAATGGGTCAATCATAGAGATAATAAACGGACCCCAGAGAGGGGGTAATCATGCTTTTTGTAAAGCAGATACCTCCAAAGGAACTATTATCAAAGTTAATTAAGGTAACTAATGATAGCATTTTTTTCAGAATTTTACTTGACCTTTACCTGCCGAACTGAATCCCAGGAACCGGCACCCTCAAATAAGCCAGATGTGGAAAAGCGACCAAGACTCTGATTCATAAATGGACATGCAGGTAGGCGGTTTGGAAGAAGAGGCAATTGAAGTCTTGGTACTAGATGTAGGCCAGTAGCGTAATCACAAATTAAGCTGAAAAGAAAAAAGAGCATGACGAATGCGAGTAGATAGATACATTTTTTAAGAGCGTAGAAGAGCTGTACAAATATCGACTAAATGAAAAGCAATACAACTAACCGCAATATAGCAAGGTTGTGAATATATATAAAACGAATACATTAGGGAAAAAAAGTAATCAAGGAATAATGGGAGTGGTTTGATCTAGTTTTCACAATTAGGTATAATTGTCAGGACGACCTTGGTGAAGAACGATCTTCAGGAGCTTAGTCTATTGGAATAATACAGTGAATTTATCTGAAACCAAGAAAATCCTTAAGAGAGGATTACAAGATCCTATTTATTAATTTCTTTAAACGTATTCTTATGGAGGTTGTGGCTATCTGGAAGAAATAGACAGGTGCTAAATGAGGGGTAGAAATATAAATAATCCCGAGAATCATAGCAC